TTTCCCTTGGAAGTAAACCACACAACCACGATTCAGATCTGGCTACCCCACAGAGACTCGAACTCCTTACAACGCTCAAGAGGAAGGCTGCAGAACAACCCCTGTCGGCGACTCAGAACCTGATATCAGAAGTCCTTGCTGATGCTTCAACAGAAGTAAACCAGACGCTACCTAATATGGAATCCCTTGGAAAAGTCGTCCAACGAGCCAGAGCTTCTGCCTCCGGATCTGCCCAACATACCGAGTCGAAGACTTCTCTTGAATTCGTTCTTCCTCCCAGCTGCACATCTACGAGAAGAGACGAACCATTTATCCTCTTTGATGGGAAGACTGACCGAGATGTGAGAATCATAGCCTTCGCCACCAACAGGAACCTTCACACCCTCGCAGAATACAACAATTGGATTGCTGACGGGACATTTTATGTCGCTCCGAAGATATTTCCCCAAAGTTACACCATACATTCGGTGATAGAAAACAAATGTCTACCATTAGTTTATATTTTGACTGGTGATAAGAAAGGAGACACCTATAGTTATGACAGTGAGGTGAGGGTTCCTCCCACATATCCTTCTGGAATCATTTCGCCAGTATTCTTCAGGATCCGGAGTTCCCTCGGACCTCTAACATGGTGGAGGGGTTTCACAGAGGTTTCAAAACCCGAGTGAATCGCCCAAAGCCCTCTGTTCAAGAATATTTTCGTGCTATCAAGGAGCAACAGGTTGTTACAGATTACCATCTGGATCGGCTTGCTGTTGGAAAGACTCCTTCCAAAAAGAAGAGGATTTCCAGCAGTATTCTGTACGACCTTTGTTCCTTCTACACGACATACCCAACAAAGATTGAGTACTTGTTCGCTGTTGCGAAATACTTTGGTAATAATATTGAGTAATTTGTTGTATTCTGAAGTATTATATTATTAATCGATTTAACATTTTATAACCAGCCAATACATTGTCTCAATTTAAAACATGTTCACTTCTTAATTTGTAGCTTCTGTGTGCAGAGTTGTCATATGAACTTTACCCCAGATCTAGCCCATTTCTAGGTCAATTATATTCAATCCATGGATCACATCACTAATTATACGCCACAAGCTTCAAGCTTGCATGTTAATTACTTGATGACGTATATGGTGGATCATATCACTTCGGCCCCAAAGTCTGGCAGCCGTCAAAAACGCTATTATACCGGAGTTTTATTATAGTCAGGAGTTGGACGTTTTTCTGTACGCTTAGCTTGTCAATCTATGGTGTAGTTACCGTATAATATAAATGCTGTGAACACATTTTTCACTTGCTCGTTGACGAGGGTCACGTGATGGTAGGCGAATTTGTCAAGTTTATACGACTATTGTAATTGTACAATAAAATATTTATATTTTTGTATCCTTGTATCCGTGACCTCTGACAGGACACCGGTCATCTCGCCCAATTTTCCCGGGAGAATCAGATCTCATGTCAACTAGCGCGTGATCATCCCGGCCTGGGTGGTCCACTTGTAATGTTGTCAAACGGGAACCTCGGCCTCGCACATCTGGTAGTGAAGTACTGATTACAGCTGCAGGTCCTCCAAATTCACGAAGTCCAACAAGTCCTTGTATGAGCCATCAGTGTAAATCACGGTACTTTTCTAATCATAATCGCTTAGCTTGGCATCATTCAATGGACATTTGTTGTTCAAAAGAAGAAAAGTCAAAAATGAGAGTGAACGGTGACTGCTTATTGCATAAGCTCTTAAATCTGCTAACCGTACATAGCTCACGCAGCTGTCTACAGTTGCTGGGCTCGTTCCGGGTCAGAAATTTAAAGTTTACTGCGGCGTGGGGCTACATCGTCGTTCTGCTGTCGTGTACATTTAAGAATGTGGTGTGGAAAGAGTTCTGACTTTTCCTGGAGTAAAGATATATGTCGGCCGTCTTTGTCACGGAGAAGTCTTTAAAGCTTTAAAGCTCTGAGCTTGACCTATTAAAAGACAAAAGATACATTTGCACGTCACGAGTAATGTGACCTACTGAAAAAAAATCGGGCAATTTGAAAATTTAGTCAAGTTCACACATGCACAATCAACCCCTCATTGGTGTGATCCTCTGATCCGGGAAATCGAGATGTCCTCTCACAAACAACAGTTATTAGTAACAAGCATAACACGATTTTCCAATCTATTAACGAAGTTTGAGCATTTAGGGTCAAAGCAGAGACTTGGGTCGATGTGAATCGGCTTAAAAATAACAAATTTGGGGTATCTTTATTTTACATCTTGGTCGAGACCTGTCACCAGCAATATGATTTCATGTTGCCTTATTCAGGCGGGCGAAACTCACGTTACATGCGATCTGATCATCTGACTCTCACGATCGAGATCGGTAGCTTTAACTCACCAGCTCCAACACGGTTTTTTAGACTTTTTTCGGTTTTTCGAGCTGCCCTTCTCCCCTGAGGCCACGATGAAAAACATACAATATATTATATCTTTATTCTTTATATGTTACATGCATTCCCCTGCAGTAGTGAAAAGTAAATTGTTTGTTTTATTTCAGTGTCGACAGCTCAAACTATGGTGGTATCTTATCGCTACAATGCTGCTAACTAGACTCTTGGATGAAGTTAAGTTGTTTTAGTCAGATGATCTACTTTTTGGCGTTTCCTACTGCCCTAGTTATAGTAGTTCAAGGTTTAACTGTAAATATAGTGTTAAGTAAGTTTCAATACTTCCCTGCCACCTTTTCAGACATTGCAGAGATGTGTGACCGCACAATTCTCAAACCGAAGAATCAAAAGGAGTTATTGATTTATCGGTATATAAAGTATGTATGCTTTATCAAACAAAGCCACTAGGTAAGCAAATTCAAATATTTTGACAGTTCATACTGCGGTTATACATTGCAGCCAATGCGCAGCAAACAAGAGCTTGCCACTGCTATAAGCATTCGTATTCGTAGCTTGTTTGAATCTCAAATTTATTCGAATTATCATAAGTAGCCGGAAGCCCGTCCTGCGGACGGAGTTCTTCAGCACAAAATCGATTCTCAAACATTTTAAATCTACCCTTTCTCATTTCTACTTCTTTTCCTTTCACAATTTTCATGTTTTAAAAAAACTTCTTACCCCTATCCATGTCACCTATGATTCATGCATTTCTAGCTTCTCGGACAGTGCTGTCTTTTCCCTCATTGGCAAATCCTGAAAGTTTTATGAAAAATATAGATCAGAGTTATGTTTGTTCTGCACGTCTGCATTTCAGGTATTCGTGACACAGTTTACGTGTGATGACGTGGGCATCTCTCAACACACTTTGCAGCATGAGCGACGGTGCCGTGGCGGGATATCTGGAAATGTAGCCTTGAGCTCAGTTTATTTTTCTCCGTCACCTCACCCGGGGGAGGGGGGGGGGGGAGCCAATGACTTTGGGTACTTTGGGGACAAGTGCAGAATTTCGCCAGCAATTTAACCTCAAGTCTCCAAGATTTTTAGCCCCCATTGGTACCCAAAAGTCTCCTTTAGAAGTCATTTAATAAAAGATAATATCAAAACTACATAAAACTCGCCAAAACTTTGGGTACTTATGGGGACAAATGGAAAATTTCACCAGCGATTTGACCTTCAGTCCCTATGATTTTCGTCCCCATTGGTGCTCAAAAGTCTCCATCAGTAGTCATTGCCCCCCCCCCCCCCCCTCATCCTGTGTCGGCTGTATTCAATTCTGATTGTACCACGGTTAAAAAATGCCAGTTAAATGTACCAACTCTCGTTTTATTTATTGTACCGACTCTCGCTCTTCGACCACGCTTTTCGTCTACTTGGCGTAGGGCGCGGTAATATTTCATGTAATCACGCACACACGTATCGCGCGCGATGTAGAAATAAGTGCAGCGCACATGGTCTTGTGGGTGACCCCCGTAATCCATGTGGTGGGGCAGGAGGGTCAAGCACTGTTTTTGTGGGTGACCCCCGTAATCCATGTGGTGGGGCAGGAGGGTCAAGCACTGTTTTTTCTGAAATGAACCTCCTGATCCATGTGGTGGGGCAGGAGGGTCAAGCACTGTTTCTGAAATGAACCTCCTGATCCATGCGGTGGGGCAGGAGGGTCAAGCAATGTTCTTTTCAGGTTGACCCTCCTGCGCCATTATACTCAACAAGACTGCTACCCATAGTAACAACTATAAACAGAACTCCTAATGTCTGCTAACAATTTTCTTCTGATCCTAATTAAATGTGAGCCTCAAATGTGAGCCTTGTCTCTAAAAACTCAACTGAACTAGCGTTCCGGTGTGTGCAAGTTTTCAGGCATGCTTATTCCTTGCTCTGTTGTATAAATTGTTTGACTATTTTTCTTTTGTAAAAACATGATGAACTCTATCCAATCTTTAAAAATACCAATCACCTAGAATGCATAAAATTAAAGTTCATCTGAAAAAATAGCATCATTTATACTTCATAGCATCATTTATACTTCAGGATTAGATTCTCAATCCTCAGGAGCACCCTGATAGCGGTCAGGGGTGAGAGAGGGAGACGGCAATCGTATACATTGCCAGTCAGTGTAACTTCGTTTAACTTGATACCTGCCACCATGGACTATGAATGTTTCTAGACACTATCCTTTTGATATTGAGATATTGGTATCTCAGATCACGTGTACATCGTTCCTTTTTTATGACACAGTAATTTATTGACACTCACAGCTTTAATTTTAATCATTGAATCAGTATTTTTATCTGTGCTCTGCGTAATGCATCACATGAATCAGTTTTTAATCTATTAACTTATTACACATTTGTGCTATGCTTTAGCATCACTTGACTATTTAAAGAAATTGTTTGTTCAGGCCATGACCTTATAATAGTCAGCCAATTGGCCATTGCTATATTATGTGTATATTGTTTGAATATTTTATTATACTTCTTCATAGTGTTTTATTTTATGTTTTTTTAGACCTTCAGATCAGCTTCTAAATTTAATGAAGGACGATTCGAATTATTTAACTTTGAATGATATATTTAATAAGGTGTAATGGCAAACAAGTATGAGATTATCAACACTCAGAGTGAAGAGGAACGCATGAAGCTTTTGGTTAAGAAAAACAATGCTGGAAAGCTGGTTGAGTTTGCTAAAAATCTTTTGTTTGGTAATGCCATCTGAACTTATCATTTTACTTAAGTGCAAGAATGCCTACTTATTTTCGCTAGGTTAATGATATTACCTGTCCTTGATCAGATAGAGAGGTTGGTGAGCAACTGTATATTTTTAAATAGTTTTATACTTAGTTTCACATTTTATCCTAGTCCTGACCCAAATAAATGGTATTTGATAAGTAGATAATGGAACAGCTATTTTCACTGATTGAATTTGAAACTTAACCGTCCTGTTGTCAGATAAGAAGATTACTGTTACATGTAAATGTGCGATATCTCTAATTTCTTTACTGGAGCAACAAGATCTTGTCAAGCAGGTTTCTAATCAGCTCCCTTATTCTTAACTGTTAGGTTTTGAGCTTGATTTGCTAAATTTACTAATAACGAATTATCTAGTGTATGGACGTGTCCATTATATATACTATTATATATGCTATGAATATGCTATGAATATGCTATGTATATATGCTATGAATATGCTATGTATATTCACTTAATGGTGAATTCTATTGTCGTTCAAATGATTATACCACTTTGAAAACAAGTGGAACCAAAATATTTCTAATTCTAAAAGTTATCTGATTGGCTGTTTGCCAGGTTACAACCGAACTGATAACAGCTCTCAACACTTTTGTCTCTTCTGCTCCAGTTGGCTCGCTGCAAGAAATTTCTCAACACTTTTTGGATGTTATCATGAAATCCAACAACTCATGCGGAAAGTAGGTAGCTCACTGGAAAATTGTTAACAAGATTAGATTAATAATATATAATATTACAACATCGCAAATTAGATCTTTAATTTGTATCAAATTTCTAGTTTTACATTCAGGAGTTTTGAAGTATTGGGACAAGTTTTGAATTGTCTTGAGGCTTGTCGACAAACGGTATCTTGTGATGGTGAGGAGTTTACTGGTCCAGAATACAGATCTCATCTCATCAACAAAATCTGCAGTGTCAGGTACCTGGGTACATACAGCTTATATCACAAATTTTCCCAGTGCAGAAATGGAAATATGGTTCTATAAACTTTAATATAATGCAGACAGTTAAACTCTGTTTAACATTATATGGTATTAATTTCCTTGTCTGACTGATGCAGATGCCATTTTTCAATCTGAGGTCTATACTTCTCTGTATATAAATGTACATATTTCTGACAACAAATGTCAAAGTGGGTATCTATGTGATTTTCGTACTACTTTAATGATTACCTCCTTGCCCAAAGTTTAATGTTAAATCTCACTGTACCATATTCATTAACTTATAATTTATTACCTACTATATGTTTTGATTCTATGTCCTTAGAAGGGTATTCTTCTAACAGTTTTTGACTGACTTGAATGTCTTGCACAGCATCTTGAAGCTTCTTTAAATTATTTTTATCCTTATTGTATTGCATTGCTGTGTAAATTTAATTCTAATTCTAATTCTAATAATTTCAGGTGGCCCCAAAACAACATCCTACACATTGGACAGATGTTTCAGGACATAACAGTTTCACAAAGTGAGATGGCATTTTTCATCGAGAAGATTTGTTCCAGCCTGTCTCTTGTGAAGTTTGATGTTGTTCCACAGATTGTTCACTTATTACTTCTATCAGCTGCTAAGGTAACTTTTGAATGAGTTTTCTTAGGGTATGTACTATACAGATGCCTTCTTAAAGGACCAGTTAACTGATTTGTAGTCTCCAATTTGGCTAAGATTTAAATCAGCTGTGACAAACTGGTAAAGAATCGTATCGCCGAAAGAACCAACTCTCTAGCGTACGTGTAACGATTGTTATTGCAATAATAAGCTGTGGCCTCGTGACGTCATAAAGTCCCTCAGTGCGCGCTTGCATAGCGTAATTTACATTACAAATGTTTATCATCGTCAATAAAACACGTGTAACTCACTCAAATTTTAGAATTATGACTATTACCCTAGTTCTCCAAAATCCTTATAGTTTTGGCTATCATCCTAACTAAAGGAATAGCTGATTGGATGTACAGTGCTCACGTCATGATTTTAAACAGTGATTGATATAGGTTCTTGAACAGTGGCGGGTGAATGTACGGTTAGAAAGTTTCTGCTATTACAACTTATATGTGATAATTTTGGATTGTTTTCATTGCTTAATTACACAAGCAGGGAGACTGTACCGATTATTTTTCCCCAGTCCATGAAACTCTAACGAATTTAGAAAGGATACAGATAAGTAGGAGTTTGTTCAATTCCTAGAGCAATTATATTTATAGCATAGCGAAATTTCTAACTTTAATCTGCAAGTGTCTGCCAGTACAGGAGACAAGAAGTCTGGCTACTTTACGGCCGTTCCTCTGGGACCATTAGTAGAAGTAGCTTCTATCAGAACAGTGCCGTGGGAACAGAATTCAAGCCAAAATACCCGGTCTACCAAATAGTAAAATTACTGATTGGAGGTGTGTACGGTGTGAGGTGTGTTTTGAATTAGACTTCCGGCTTACCTAGTTGTTATCCTAATTGCATTATCATCGGTGCATAACATAAATAAACTACTGGCAAGTTTAAATACCAAGTGCAAACGTGTTCAGTCGATCGACCCACTGAACAACTATAGAATTTCCAAAACCCTATTATTCTCTGGCCATATATTACGGCACGATCGATTGTTAGATGGCTAAATGACCAACGTTAATGGGGGGGGGTGTCACGTCCGTCTATGTCCGCTTGTCTCATAGAATCCAAAAAGGACAGGACATAGGCGGACATAGGCGGACATAGGCGGACATAGACGGACATTAGCGGACATTAATGGACACCTAAATTGCTAAATAAAATGTTCAATGTTTGCTGTTATAGGGGGATCATGTTTTTTGTCCGTTCGGTACCCTATATTTTCAAAACGGACAAAAAATAGAGCGGACAAAAACGGACAAAAATGGACAAAAACGGACAAAAATGGAAATAACATTTAGATGCTTCCTTCTCCTACTCTTCCTCCTCCTCCTCCTGGGTCTTCCTGATCTTCCTCAGTCCTCTTCCTCCTTCCCTCCTCAGTCCTCCTCCTACTCCTCCTCCTCGTCCTCAGTCCTCCTCATCAGTCCTCAACAGTCTTCCTCCTCCCCAGTCCTCCTCCTCCTCCTGAGTCCTCCTCCTGGGTCCTCCTCCTGGGTCCTTCTCCTCCTCTTGATCCTCCTCCTCTTCCTTCTCAGTTCTCAGTCCTCCTCAGTCCTCCTCCTCATCCTTCTCTTCAGTCCTCCTTCCTCCTCCTCAGTCCTCCCCAGTCCCCCTCCTCCTCCTCCTATTCAGTCCTCCTCCTCCTCCTCCTTCTCAGTCCTCCTCCTTCTCAGTCCTCCTCCTCCTCCTCCTCCTCCTCTTCCCTCTCAGTCATCCTCCTCAGTCATCCTCCTCAGTCCTCCTCCTCCTGGGTCCTCCTCCTCCTCTTCATCCTCCTCCTCTTCCTCCTCGGTCCTCAGTCCTCCTCCTCCTCCTTCTCATCAGTCCTCCTACTCCTCAGTCCTCTCCCAGTCCCCCTCCTTCTCCTCCTCCTATTCAGTCCTCCTCCTCCTCCTCCTCCTCCTCAGTTCTCCTCAGTCCTCCTTATCATTTCTCCTAAGTCCTCCTCCTGAGTCCTCTTCCTCCTGAGTCCTCCTCCTGAGTCCTCCTCCTCCTCCCTCTCAGTCATCCTCCTCACTCCTCAGTCATCCTCCTCAGCCATCCTCCTCAGCCATCCTCCTCAGTACTCCTCAGTCCTCCTCCTTCTCAGTCATCGTCAGTCCTCCTCCTCAGTCCTCCTCAGTCCTCCTCCTCCTCCTGGGTCCTCCTCCTGGGTCTTCCTGATCCTCCCCAGTCCTCTTCCTCCTCCCCTCCTCAGTCCTCCTCCTACTCCTCCTCCTCGTCCTCAGTTCTCCTCATCAGTCCTCAACAGTCCTCCTCCTCCCCAGTCCTCCTCCTCCTCTTGGGGCTTTTTCCTGGGTCCTCCTCCTGGGTCCTCCTCCTCCTGGGTCCTCCTCCTCCTGGGTCCTCCTTCTCCTCCTCAGTCCTTCTCCTCCTCCTCCTCAGTCCTCTTCCTCCTCTTCCTCCTCCTCCTCCCTCTCAGTCATCCTCCTCAGCCATCCTCCTCATTCTCAGTCCTCCTGAGTCCTCCTCCTGAGTCCTCCTCCTCCTCAGTCATCCTCCTCAGTTCTCCTCCTCCTCCTCCTAGGTCCTCCTTCTGGGTCCTCCTCCTCCTCCTGGGTCTTCCTGATCCTCCTCCTCCCTCTCAGTCATCCTCCTCAGTCATCCTCCTCAGTCATCCTCCTCAGCCATCCTCCTCAGACATCCTCCTCAGTACTCTTCAGTCCTCCTAGCTCCTTCTCAGTCCTCCTCAGTCCTCCTCCTGAGTCCTCCTCCTCCTGAGTCATCCTCCTGGGTCCTCCTGGGTCCTCCTCCTGGGTCCTCCTGGGTCCTCCTCCTGGGTCCTCCTCCTGGGTCTTCCTGATCCTTCCCAGTTCTCTTCCTCCTCCCCTCCTCAGTCCTCCTCCTACTCCTCCTCCTCGTCCTCAGTCCTCCTCATCAGTCCTCAACAGTCCTCCTCCTCCCCAGTCCTCCTCCTCCTCCTCCTGGGGCCTTTTCCTGGGTCCCTATATAATTTGATATAATAAGTTAAAGCTATTAATAGCTTTAGTGTGATTAATAAGTCGTTTGTTTTGTACAAGATTATAATACAAGTTGCGAAAAATTCTCAAAATGTTTGTCCGCTAATGTCCACCAATGTCCGCTAATGTCCACCAATGTCCGTCCGAGTCCGCCTATGTCCGTCCGGGTCCGCCTATGTCCGTCCGAGTCCGCCAATGTCCGTCCGAGTCCGCCAATGTCCGTCCGAGTCCGCCAATGTCCGTCCGTGTCCGCCAATGTCCCAAAAAACACGTCCGTTGTCTCATAGAATCCAAAAAGGACAGGACATAGGCGGACATAGACGGACATGACACCCCCCCCGTTAATCTATACAATTCTAAAACTATGAGCTAGCACTTTAATCTAAAAATACCTTTTTTATATTACTCCTGATTTTTACATTTCACGTAAAACATTGTCGCCAGAGGTTGATCGTGGACACTAACAGCTTAATTTGAGATAAATGACTTATGAGTTTCTCTAAAGTTAACTCTAAAGTTGTGTAGTCCAGTCATTTATGGACATTTATGGAAATGAACCTGCAAATTTTCTAATACTCACGAAACTTTGCACAGACCTTCCCGAAGTTATGATTAAACGATTTTCGTTTGGAGACATTTTTTGACCGTGGAGAAAACCCAGGAGGGCCACGCCCATATTGACCCAATAACGTAACCGACCCCTTGCTTCTGAAGGTCGTAGAGACTTCAAAATAGGCTTGAACGAAGCCGCATATGCATGTTTATATAGGAGTTATTGAGCAACACACGGCCTAAAATCCTTACTTTTCGATAAATTCGCCAAAAACCATTTTGGGCGTGGTGCTAAGCCCATTTTCGATATGATCGTGATGGAGTCTTCAGACAGGATGCAAAAGAACCGCAATTAGCATATTAATATATGACTTACGAACAAACATATGCCTTAAAGTGCTTACTTTTTCAGTTATTGGCGAAAAACTGATTTTCGGTTCCAGAAATCATGCAAAACTATGGGTATCTGGTTAATTGGGCTATGAAGGCCCTAAAGGTTTTTGAATGTGTGCAAATTGTGCAGAATGGCCATGTTTATATACAACTTATGAAGCAACATGTACCCTAAATTACTTACTTTTCGAGTTATTCGGGGGAAAAGATTGTATTATGTCCATTTTTTACCTGTAAAATACAGTCTCACGAGCTACTCTGCGCGCAAGAGGGACTTTATGACGTCATCGCCAAAATAATACAAACGCTATTTACACGCGTTAGAGAGCAGTTAGAGATTTAGGAATTTCGACTCGTTGCTTAGTTTGCTATTTGTCACAATCATTCAAAATATGAGGATAACTTTTTTTTCAGTTAACTGGTCCTTTAATTAAAATACTCAAAAATTAAGTTTTAAACAGCAATTTTATTTTACAAACTTAATCAAACAAATGTATATATTTGTTTGATCAAAGTTAAATGGCTCATGTCAGGGTCATCACAAGAAAGTTGTGTTTGAATTAACAAGTAACTTCAATGATATGGAGGAGAAGGAACAAAATGAGTGAGTTAAGCTTCTCCTTTAGCTTTCTAAGGATTGAAATTATATTTATTGTTTTTTATTGAGTGTTTCTGAGCTGAAAACTTAACTTGTTGTGGTAGGTTGACCTTACCTCTGCTGAAGTACTAGTAAAATAAATTTGGAGAGTCATAATTAGTAATGATATGTACATAGCATCAAATCAACAGTCTGTATCGTTCTATGACTATACGTGGCTAACACACATTCTGCAGCCAAGAAGAAATGAAACGGGATGTTGAAAGTGAGCGGAGTCAAGCAGAGGGAACATCACTTCTACACATCTCCTTCGCTGTAAAACATGACCTGGTCAGTTCACTCTCTGTTAAGTAGATTTGTGTTCTGTCTTCAATGAATTGAATAAGTTTTTCTTGTTTCGTTGTTTAGGATAATGTTATCCCTGATACATCTGTCCTGTGACGCTCATGGAAGATGCCTGTCTCCTGGAATCCCGAACAAGACTTGTAAGTTTATCTTATATTAATAAAACATTTCAATATTGATAAGGTGAGATTTAAAATTTGCTGCCATGTGATCCTGTTGTTTGGCAGTTCGATGATGGAGATGCAAAACTCTAATTTGCCATGATATTCTCAGTGTAATGTTTCCTTTAAAACGCAATTGGATGCTGTCATCAATTTTATTATAAGCTAAACGGCTGGCACATTTCCAGTACTACGTAAATCCAGTTATCCAGTTATTCTATGAGGCTCATTTGGAATTAAGAGCTCTACTGAAGGGGGGGGGGGGGGGGGGGGGGGGGGGGGGACCATTCTACTTCATTGGAGGAGCCATTGGAGGAGCCGTTTGTAATTTTATAGTTAAGTGAAAATGTATTTAGTTTCGTAAAGTAGAATACGAAAAGTACAGTAACAACGCAAGATTTGGATAATAATTAAACATTAAGATTAAGTAATTAGTATCTGTAAGTAGGTAAGTAAAGTTATAATACTATTTTCTCATAGATCTAGCTCTGAGTTTTCTTTCTGCTTCTTTGCAGTCTTTAAAAGCTTTTTTTGCTTTATCTATATCTGCTTGTGTAAATTCATATTCAAGACCATTACTTGAATTTATAATGGATGGTACTTCCACCTTGCACACAATTCTCTCCAGGAACTCCCAGCAAACCTGCTCAAACCCAGCTTCCTCTTTCCAATAATACCGATTCTCACTTAGTTTCGTCATGTATGCTACTGAAACCTCACTGTCTACCTCTTTCACACGGCAAATGTAAAGAAGGGGACCATGTATCACTACAACAAAGTCCAACTCTTTGCAGTCGTCATTATTGGCTGGGGTTTTCTCGATCGTAGTTCCTGGCCCAATCCGGACTCCACCAGTTGACGTGTCTCCAGCATCCATAATACCCGCTCCGTTTCCAGCTAGAGATTTATCCTTCTTCTCTAGAGCAGACTAGAGGCGGGCCTGGTATTTTGTAGCAGCGATTTCTTTAGTCTTGAGCTCCTACTTAGGATAATAATCCTTAGTCCGCTTTCGGAAGATTATATTAATTTTAGGGAACAGCGTTAGGGACAGGTCGCCGTGGTGGCCCTTCTTCCCGTTTCACTCGTTTTTAACCATCTTAGGTACTAGTTTCAATGTGTTTGAGATGATTGATATGTTCATCACTTTATGTGCTTAAATAAATTGACGACAATTTGATTGTTTACCGTTTTTTTGTCCCAATAATTATTCATAGAAGTTTCCACTAATATATTTAATTTCTATATCTGTATCTCCTTAATAGAGTGTACGACTAACAGTCTCATGATCTGATTTGCTGAATCTTTACAGCATCATCTATAGATTCTTATATAGACGACTTAAATATTTACCATTAAATTGCTCTATAAAAATATGACAATTTAAATAACCCGATGAAAAGCTGATTTTCCTCTTGCAGGTTTCCAAGCATGTCTTCTATTGCACTGTCTGAAACAGGTCAGGCACTGTTAGAACTTAGAGTGCTAGGTGCCATTCAACTTAATAATGTCAGATCCAATAATCAATCTAGAATTTTCGAGTTGATTTTTATATAATTAATCATATCATATCACCTAATTAATTAATTCATTCATGGATTTAGTGCGGTTGTTAATTAGAAACTTACTGTGAGCTTCCATCTCAACATCTGTATTCTCCTCGTTGATCTGGGGGTCACCTTCCATCTCACAGCTGACCTCAGCCTCCACAATCGGATTCCCTTCCGCTTCTGCACCCCTCTCATCACCCGATGAAGACCTAATCTCCTCTTGGAGACTACCGAGCATTTCCTCTTAGATTGCACTGTCTGAACTTCTGAAACGGGTAAGGCTCAATCCGATCAGAATTGAAATTCGCAAAATCCACACGCTTTTCCTTGGTTTACTGGGGCCTGTTTTCCCTGAGTTGGATCTTGTAAAATTGCCAAAAATTGCCGAAATTTGCCTCATTCTGCCTCATTCGGGCAGCCAAATAGGGCAAAATTGGGATAAGGCAGAATGGGGTTGGAACCCACCCCCCCCCCAAATTTGACTTTATGTATTTATTATTTATTACACCATATCTGTACCACACCTGTACCAGGATCGGAGTCCTTCTATCCGGACAGAAGTTATGGCGGTTGGTAGGGTCCTCTATACTCTCACTACTTCTGAACTGTTTGGGTACAGCTTGCCCTCGAACAATACCTGTCTGTACCTTTCTCCCGAGGCGAGTTATGGCAATCTACCCTACCCATTCTTAGACCGGGTGATACTCTTCATGCCTTCAACTTTCAACACAGATTTATGTCTAAGTTTTGACCTAGTCTATTGAGTCCACGATTGATGCTCTTGCCATCCTCCATCTTTTTCCCATCCGTAACCAGAGCTTCTATTCTTGAAGCAAAATTCGACACAATCTATCTTTATAAACTTATAACAATGTTACAATCGTAACAATCGTATACAATCGTATAAAATCGAACAGAAACACTTCTTGGATGTGTATCCTCTCGACCGGTCGCCTCGCTTCTGGTATGTTCCATCACTCTTGATGGCAATCTTTGTGGGAACTGTACCGTCTGATCCCTGGAGCGAGTTCATGCGATCTCCTTCGGTTGTCTGCAAGAAGATCTTCTGTCATCCGCGAGAGAACCTCGTGCAGTTTCGTGTTATACAGGGTATCCCACGAGTCTGCAGGCCCTTTATTTATTTATTATTTATTACACCAACTCTGTACCAGGAGCCCTTCCATCCGGACAGAATTAATGGCGGTTAGTAGGGTCCTCTATAATGCAGGTAGAGTGGTAGAGAACAGCAAAAAGACTCGTCCTTAGTGTTCCAACGTGCAATTTCTACTTCTGAACTGTTTGGAGACAACTTGCCCTCGAACAGTACCTGTCTGTACCTTTTTCCCGAGGCGAGTTATGGCAATCTGCCCTACCTATTCTTAGACCGGGTGATACTCTTCATGCCTTCAACTTTCAACCCAGATTTATGTCTCACTTCAATGATATGGAGCCCGTTACACAATGCAGATAAAATATTTCATTATTGAGAGTGTGTTCAACTTCAAGAGGTGAAATTACTTTTGCAGCTTCTGTCGTGGTGGTGGTGGTGATGGGCTAGGCGTCTAAGGGTCCCTCAAGCAAGGTCTTCTTAGCAAACGCCAGGATTTCTATCGGGTTGGTGGTTAGTATGTCCAAGTTTAAGTCAGATTTTCCGAAGATTTCTTCTCTCGTCCTGATCGTTGCAGGGCACCGAATCCAGTGTGGTACCGTTTCTTCTTCTTCTCCGCAACGGGGACAAGTTGCACTCTTTGTAGAGTCGATCCTATTTTTGTAGTGGGACAGGTGAAGGCAATGGCCTGCTCTGAGTTGTGCTAGCAGCGCTCCGTCTTTCCTGCTCTCTATTTTACTGTCCGCTCTTTTTCTGTTGTATCCCTTGTAAGTCTGGGAGACCAGGTGGTGTTGGGGGTCGCTATCCTTGATGTGAGCCTTTGCTACTGCTCTGGCAACTCCGTATGAGATTGTAGACTGTCCTTGGCCCAGGTCCGGGAGTTGTGCTGCTTCCTTTGCTGCTTTGTCAGCGTATTCGTTCCCAGGAATGTTGGAGTGGCCGGGAATCCAGTGCAGGTACGTTGTCCCATGGAGTGATTCCAGAGTTTTCCTGATATCCTGAGTGTCTGGGTTCAGGCTATCGATGCTAGTCAGTAATGCCTGGCTATCAGAGCATATGATGGTGTCATCATACTTCTGGTTCTCTGTCATCCATTTCAGGGCTTCCGTAAGTGCAGTTTTCTCCTCACCATAGGAGCAGGTGAACTTATTTCCCTTCTTTTTGATGGTCTCCAGTATAACGGGGTTAGCTGCTGACCCTGTGGTGATAACTGCTGCTGCTCCACCTTCCTTTGTTCCACCTTTACATGATCCGTCAGTATAGATGGTAGTACATATGTCGTACTTGTCAATCATTCTGATAGCACTTTGGGCGGTCAGTCTTTTGGCAGAGCTTTCGTTAGCTGAATCGCTTGTGTCCCAGAAAGTGTCTCTTGGTCGTGTGGAGAAAGGGTGTTGGTTGTTAGGCACAGCTGGATGGGATTTGGGTACTAGCATAGGAGTCTCTGGTAGTGCTGTGAACACTTTCCAGTTCCTTTTCCTCTGTTCTTCTGAATTCTCCCAGGGCTTTTGGAATGGAGATGGGAGGGCTTCTACGGGATTTCCGTGAGTTGGTAGTTGCCCTCTGGTGGAGTTAGTTTTCTCTCTCCAGGAACTACGGATCTTGCTTCTGTGGGTGGTAGGTGTTTTAGGGCGTAGTGCTGCGTGCCTTGGATGATCTGAAGGGAGTCGGTCTGCTTTTTCTGCAGCAATAGTGATGATTCGCTCACTATGTGTCTTGTAGCTTTCAACTTCAGCTTCGATTCTTAGCGCTTCTGTAGGTGTTGACGAGTATTGACCAGTGACTAGCCTCAGGGCTTTGTTCTGTGCTACTTCTAGCTTGTTGAGTTGAGTAGCAGATAGCCATGGTTGCCAAGCAGCTGCAGCATAATCAAGTACGCTCCTCTGGGTAGCAATGTACACCCTCCGTAGGTTTTCTTTTCTCCAGCCCCACTGTTTTCCTGCCAGGGACGCCAGTATCTTACAGCGTTCAGAGACTTTCTTGGTCACTTCAGTGACATGCTGTTGAAATGACAGTGTTCGGTCCATATGAACCCCAAGGAACTTTGGGCTAGCGTTGAACGGGATAGGTGTTACATCCAGGTTCAAGGAGGGTCTCCACTTTGCTTCATTAGTAGCTGGAGTGAAGAACGTAGCTTCACTTTTATCTACATTGAGCATCATCTTTTTC